CCCATGGCTCGTCTTCACTCTAGTTACGTGAAGGCTCGACGTCCTACGTCAGCTTGGATGAGTCCCTATAGGGAGTTGTGGTCAAAGCATCCTAAATCTATTTTTACATGCTGTTGATACAGTAATTTACCTTTTTTTTCGAATGAGTCAAGTCAAGATAACGTTGTTTTGGGGTAGCTCCGGGAGCTAAAACTATTTCATTTTTTGTTTGACGGGCTTTTATCACTGATCCAAGCCGTTCAGTGCGGTCCAACCACCTCCGTTCTGTCAGCAACAAATTAATTTCTTATTCTCTACTCAGTAGCAGATTTTGTCCATTAGCTAGTGCATAGTTGTGGTTTGCTGCGTTTGATGCCCATCGCCAAATTAGCATTCAAATGATCGTCTACATTTGCACATCACATTTGTTGGCGGGCACATGTAAGTGATCAGCTCAAAGGTGGTCGCCGAAATCGTACATGGAGCTGTTGGATGATGCCTGTCGGCTACGTATTTAACGTGCTGGATAGATGCCACGTCAATTGTAAACGGGCAGAACTAGATCATGTACTAGTCGCGTTGCTCTGCAGCCACGCGAACTTGAAAGAGTAATCCGTGCCTAGCGAAGCACACGCACGCAATTTCTGTTAAACAAAATCCAAGTTATCGCCGTACATGGTTTCCCACCACAGTGCTCAAGGGAGATCTGGGTCGTGTAAAACACCCATAATATTATTGCTGTCTGCACGTGAATCATCTGTCGATCGAGCACAAATACGAGCTGATGCATCGTGGAAAAGTTGAGTCGCCTCTTGAGCGTCTGGGTGAGCGCCGCGAAGGATGTGAGCTCCACAAGGCTATATAGTAACACATTCACCACAGTTTTGGCCAAGTGATTCGAGTCCATGCTAGCGATTTGGCTGTAGTAGTCACGGTTGGGCATGTGGAAGACGGTGAACAAATACAGCGCTTAAGCAGGAGTTAAAGGTCAGTTAGGGCAACAAACAATGTATACGTGGTGAATCCACACGTACAGTATACGATGGGTGTGATGACTTCCGCGTAGGCAGTGAGGATGGCGAACTCGGATGCATACATGAGTGTACGAACGAGACTGGCGTACTTGCGTTCGAGCTGCTCAAGTTCTGAGAGTGTGTCTCCCATGGTTTTAGTACTAGGGTCGAATGGATTATCAAGAGGTCCACTGTCAAGTGGTGCCACCAATACTGAGTTTTGCTGGCGTGGTATGGTCAGATCACTCGCTCGCGGATCTCCATACTTCTTAGCACTCGTAGAATCGTACTTCAATGTGTCAAATGTGTATCTCTGAAAGATATCTGTGGCTCGAGGTAGCATGCTAGTTGTGGCGAACCGATCACCAGGAAGCTTCGACGCGAATTTGTCGTTCTTCCTCAACTGGACAATCTCCGACCCCGTATCAGCAATTCGTTTACGAATAACGTCAATGTCGCGGATCATCAGAACCACTTGCAACGCATTGGCAATCATGAGACCGGCTGTAGTCATGAATGACGGCTGATACTGCATACAGAAGTTCACAAACAACGCG